TCACAGTCACAATTGGACATGTTCTGAGACACATCTCAGATGTTTTGTCATTGTGTAAGTGTGGACACGTGCATGTATGGACGTGCCGGTCACTTGCTGTGACCTCTTTATTATTTATTACTATTTTATCTTACTGGAGATGGGGTTCAGGGCTTTGCACATGCTGGCAAGCACTCTACCTCTGAGCTACATTCCATCTTTTTAAAAATTAGTTTGTGACAGGATTCCATTGGTTTCTTGGGCTGGGCTCCAGCTTACAATCCTCCTGCCTCAGCTCCCCAAATAGCTGGGATTACAGACATGAGCCACCTTGATCAGCTCAATGTGGCACTTTGATGTGATCTAAAGATCTGGTAAACACTGGATATGAGGAGGCTGCAGGTGTAACTGGGCATGCTGTGTTACAACGCACTTTTTAAAAACCAAGTAGAAGGAATACACTCAAATACTGATAAGAAATTATGGCCCAGTGAATCCATATACTCCATATACCAGTAACATGATTATTTATCTTCACCAAGTGCTACGAACTGTGCATTGTTTATGCTTTTATGTGACTGGCAGCACAGTAGTTTCTTTCACATCAGCATCACCACAGATGCGAGCGTGATGCATGTCCCAACAACGCACAGCTGCCAGGTGCCCAGGTGACAGGAACCTTTCAGCCCTGTTACAGTCTGGCACCATCCTGTATGGGGGCGCTGCACTGCAGTGGAACTGCTCTCTGGATTTCTGCGTTCTGGTCCTGCCAGGACTGTCCAGTGGTGAACTTTCCTCAAACTTTCTTTGTTGGTCACTTATTTGGACCAGATTTGAACAGAAAGGCCCTAGAGGGCCCCTAATTCTGCCCCACAAACATCCTGCTCACGGGGGCAAATCTGAGTTCAACGGTATTTTCAGAGGCCCTGGTTTTATCCTGCAGCTACTTCAGAAGGAGGCGACCCCTACTGAGACCAGAGGTCCTGGATCCTCACCTCAGAGCTGACAGAGCTTGGAGATGGCTCTTTGTTATTAAGGCTAATGGACCATACACAAAGCCTCGAGGGACATGTATGGGACATGGGGTCCCACTGGAGTTGAGGCACAGATCTGGATGGGAGAGCTACAGTGGCACATGATAGTAGGGATTTCTGAGCTGAAGCTGTGGCCTTCTCAAGTGCTCTGCCAGATGAGAGAGCCTCCATGACTTCGCCCAGATGGAAGTTCTGACCACATACTTTGGTTTCACACCAAATCTCTTGGTTCCCCCAAATCTCTGATGGAAATTCTTGCTGGATCCAGGATGAAGGCAAACCCAGTTCCTCCCTGAGACCCCAAGGCAGACAGGTCCCATGCCTCATCCTGATCTAGTCCTGTAGTCCTCAGAGTTGGCACCCTGCCCTAGCAACCTAGGGCAACCAGGTCTCACCAGCTGTGGCCGTTTGTTATGGATTTAAACTGGTGGTCAGCTTAACACCAGCTGAATTAAATCAGCATGGTGTTGAGTGTAGATATTCCACCTGAGGAAAATTGCCAGCATAAAAACAGACGTGGAGTGGAAGAGTGGGACATTGTGGGTTCTCTTTTGGAGGAGCTTATCATGGCTAGCTTCCCCCATATGAATTCAGCCATTATCATCAGAGGAGCTTGAGACCTTGTTGTTGAGAATGGCTGTGGTTCACTTTGGGGGAGCTCTGCTCCTTACATTAGGTATTGCTTCCTGACTCTGGAGAGGAAGATGTATGCTGCTTAATCTCCAGGAGAAGCTTGTCATGCTGAATTCCTGACATGCACTTGACTGTTCTCATTGTCTGAGGAGCTCAGGACCTAGTTGTCACTGAGGATGGCTGTGGTGCTTTTCAGGGGAGCCCTGGTCCTTATCTTGAGTGTTACTGCTTGGCTCCAGTGTAGAATCCTCAACCTCCTGACACAAATCCTTCACCCCACCAGCGTAGACTTTCTAGCTTCCATCACTGACCTTTGGGGCTTCCCAGCACAGACCCATAAAAGAGACTTGCATGAATTCTTGTCGTGGGCTCTAGACCTCCAGTTGGACTTGTGGGAGGCATTGTCATGGGCTCTAGGTCTTCAGCTGGACTCATGCAGGACATTACTCTGGGATCCAGGCCCTTGGCTGAATTTTCTAGGTCTTTAGCGTTGTGGGTAGATTTCTTGCACTTTCTTGTATTTAACTCTGGGTGACCATCATAAAATAGTATTATAAATTCTGTGTCCCGTATGAAATTGTTTTTGCTCTAACCCCTGACTACAACACCGTTGCAGTGCCCTGCTGGCTCCCCTCACTGTGGTCACTGCCCCTCAGGTGCCATGAATGGCAGGTACAGCTCATAGCTGTCCTTGGAAGCAGGGTCTGAGCTACATAGAAGGTCCCTCACCTGAGGGCCAAGGATGGCACTGGGCCTGGCCTGACATCAGATAGGGACCAGTTCTGTGGCAGTGCATACTTCTGAGATTCCTGTGAGATCAGATAACAGCCAGGCTCCAGCCAAGACCACATGCTTCTTCTCGTCTCTGTCCTGTTGCAATCTCACCCTCCTTTGCTAGGAGCACTCCCTGTATTTCACTTGGAGAAGACCCCCCATCTCAGGCTTAGACCCTTAGACCCTTGTCTCAGACCCTCAGGCACCTGTGGGTCCTCTCTCACATCAGAAATATCCCTGGGGGTAATCAGGCAAATGTGTGTTCTTGGAGCAGTTGGATCCTTACTCAGGATACAAGCTGGGCTCCTTGCAGATTGGCCTCTTTGGGGTTCCCACTGAATCCTCTTAGGAAGTCATTCAGACACACAAACACAGAATCTGACCAGAGAACACAGTTCACAGCCACAGTGGTCCAACTATAGGCCTAGAATTTACATTGTTGCCACAGAAGTTGTGACAATAACATAGGCAGAAGCCTCACCTGACCGCTCAGGTTTCCCAGTATCAGCCCACAGCTCATAGCCCTGGCTTCTGCCTGAGACTGTTCAGCTTCTCAAGAGTTGCTTCTGGGTCACACATCTCCATGGAGGACAGGTGGAGCAAATGGTGGCCAGTACCCTCTCACTAGGTGACAGAGGGGTTCGTGGAGATAAATCTCTCAGCACAAATATACCAAGCTTGGTCATCCACAAAGCTCAACTACAGGAGCCATCTCACACACCATCCTGTTCCTCTGAGCTAGAAGCTGCCTGTTTTTCCATCCCTAAGACATGTCTCTTCTACACTCCTGAATGCTAACCTCTAGCTCCTATCCCTGGAGGCCTGATACCTATGTTCAGCTGAGAGCTAGGTCCTGGGATGAAGGGGCACACTTAGCCCCCGACATCACCGCTCTGGAGGAAATGGGCACAGCCTTTGTACTAATGAAACTTGCTTTTACAATAGGAAAAGGAAAGGAATATTTCAGAATGAGTCATGGGGTCTAATTGGCAGGTTCACACAGGAGGAAGAGTCCGTACTTGTGAGAGAACAGAATTCTGCTGGATTAGAATCATCGGTGGAATTTGCCTGGGTTTTGAGGAGATGCGATATGCCAGTGTCTGGTTGTTAGATATGACACCCAGAGTGGCTGGCTTCATTCAACATGGACACGGCCACTGTTAGAAGATTACCTTTCTAGGAGGCTTCAGGTCCCTGAATGGCAACTTCTGTACAAAGTCTTTGATTTTGCTCAGTGGTACTATGTCTGGTCACGTCTCTGATAGGAGGAAAAGATAAAATAACCAAGGAATTATTTTTGCCTCTGCAACTAATTAGCTTATTGTCATGGTTTCTGTCAGTGCCCCCCCACCCAAGCCTCATGCAAACATGGATGCGACCAAATCTAGTATTTGTGATTGGTTCATTGACTAGCACTCAGATTGGCAGTATGAGTACTACATCCACCCAGGGATGGAGCCAGCATAAAGAGTAACAGTGGGAAGGAGGTAGGTCTTTTTCTTTGCTGTTCAGGCTTTCTGTTTGTGACTGCCATGAACCGCTGCCCCTCAGCTATGTTGTTTTACCTTGGAGCCATGAGTATGGACTGAAACCTCCAACCTCTGAGAAATAAACCTTCCCTTCCTTAACTTTTGGGTGTCAGCTATTTTTGTCTCAACAACAAGTGAAAAGTAACTAAAACACTTATCAAGAGTGACTCAGTGTGGAGGCACAGGGACCCAAATGAGCTTTGCCTGGAGGAAGAGGGTGTACCAGGAGGAGGACAGAGCCTCTGATAGCAAACCCAGGGCAGCCAGGGACATCACTCTGGAACCCAACAGGGTGACATGAAATAAGACCTACTTGGGTTTGTAGAGCACTCAAAATCTCAAAATCTGGATCAAACCAGTAAGGAAAAGCTCCTCCTCTCCCCACAGAGAAAGTGAAGATGAGATGGAGCATCAGGTGGAACGGAAGGGAAAACACCAGTAAGAACAAGGGAAATGTCCTTTCTACAGCACCAAGCAATGAAATGCATGGAAGTGACAATCTCTGCACTCCTGGGTGAAATCTCCTGGACTGGTGATCTTGAACCCTCATAGGTGGCAGCACCAGGTGTCCTTGCTTGATCAGCTCTCCAGTGTTTCACTTTGTGTTGGACAATGACCATTAGGGTGCAGCTGTCCCCAGTGAGTAGAAAACGCCAAAGGGAAGACTTCACCAGGAACACTTGGATAAGACCCCCAGAAGGTGGGACTTTTCAGTCCTTTGAGCGCTAGATGCCGGTTTGTTTTTGAGACAAGATCTTACTCTGTAGTCCAGGCTGGCCTTGAACCTAAAGTGATCCTCCTGCCTCAGCCTCCTGAATGCTGGGATGATAGGCATGTGCCACTGTGCTCAGCTGAAAAAGCAGATTTTACAAATACAAACAGCTCTCAAATTGATGCCCGGGGCCCTGCTTCACTGTAACCAGGGAACATTGTTATGTCCTAGAAGATTTTGTCCTGAGTGCGGCACATTAATTATTAAAGACCTGCTTTCAACCCTCTCAGACAAGTTTAATGTTTAGTTAGAGGACTGAAAAACTAAAATGTCTGTCCCTTGACTTTGCACCCTGCTGCTCAGATGTTTAGAAAGAAAAGGGAGAAAGGGCAAGAGAGAGAAAAGGGGAAAAGTATATTCTGTGTGGCTTTATTCTGGTAGACAGTGTTAAGTGTGTAGAGGGAAACACTTTCCTATTCACGAAGGTGCATTGCTTTTCTCTCTCCCAGGCTTGGGGGAAAAGGCTGCCATGGGAATAAGTATTGATCCAGGGAAGGAGGGAGACTGAGTTGCAAAATGAAAGATAAAAATGTGAGGATGCTAACAGGAATGGGAAATAGGAAGGCAGCTACCTGGAGCAGGTGGCCGAGGGGCCAGGAGAGGGCAGCCAGAGCACAGGAGCTGCGGTGGCCCAGGCCTTGAGTGCTGCCCCCAACTTTTTCTTGAGCGAGAGTTGGGGTTGGGGTCCCGCCCTGGTGGTGGCCTCAGCCCTTGAGGCCCAACCTACTGAAGCTGTGGACTCTGCCCAAGGTTTCTGCTGAGCGGAGAAGACTGGCCAGCGCAAGTCTTGGACTCAACTTGTCCCACAGAAACCTGGGCTTCTGTCTCCCTGAGAGCCACCTCTTCACCCCAAATCTGTGAGTAGGAGCGGGGTACATGCACAGCTGTGTGTGTCAGTGGGTGTCTGAGTGAGCTTAGCCAGGCTGGCATTTAGAGATAGCTGAGTTCTAGAAAAAAGGGTTTTTGAGTGGAGTAGAATTGGGAGGAGGCGGGGGTTGTCTTAGGACTCTTACGGATGAGCTAAGTCCTGCGAAGGAACGACAGGGGCTCTCAGAATGGGTTAGAAATGGTTTCAGGTATGGTTGGCCCCAGGGACAACAATGGCGTCTTTAGGATGTTGTCTCCATCTTTCAACAAGAAGGTACAACACAGTACAATCACTTCGTAATCATGGCCTGTTGTGGGAAGTGATGAAAAGGGGCCTCTCTTAAGAAAAAAGCCTGTGTCAGATAGAATCCTTCCATCTATCTGTGTGTCTGACACTCATTCCCTTCCTTCTCTTGCTGTTTCTGCTCAGAACCCCTGTCTCTCACAAGGAGCTGCCTCTCCCAGGCCCTGAGTGAAGTAGGAGGTGGGGACCCAGGGTGAGGCCCAGGTGTGGTGAGGTGTGAGCTCCCGGTGGCACTCGGTGGCACTTGTGGGTTCTCTGCAGGGCCTCCCTGACTCTGTCTTTCGGCAGGAAAGGTCTGGCCCATGGAGGACGACGTGCAGAGACCAAGGGAGACTGTTTCCCTCACACCCGTGACCCTCGGTGTGGACAATATGGGGGCTGAGTTCCTGGAAAGTTTGGTCTGTAGCCATCCCCAACTCGGCCTCCTCAGCCTCCCTCCTCCTCCAGCCCCAGTCACGGTGGAGGGTGCGCTACCTGCTTTCTCCCACCCTCCTGGCTCCTTGGTTAGGAGACCTCAGTGATCATTCTCTGGTACAAAGCAGCCCTGTCATTGTCATCCTGTAAGCATTTACTGAGCACCTGCTATGAGCCCAGATAGCCTGAAGGCCAGCAAAGTTCTCATTGAGAAGCCGGATGATGTAGAGGTTGGGGTGCATCTCCGAGGAAATCTCAGCCTTCAAGGAGCTTCCCGTCCAGTCAGAGGGCAGGTTGAGGACCACAACCCAAACTCTAGAGCCTAATGTGATGCTCCCCATCCTTGCAACCTCCTCTGACAAGGTCCTTCCCCTTCACAGTCTCCCGCATCGCCCACAGGGCAGCTTTCATGAGGTCACCTGCACCCCACCCCATAAAACTCCACAGGCAGTTGAGTGAATGGAGCCAGGAGCCAGGCCCGAGGCCATCCTCAGAGGGTCCCTGATAGTTCCCACCAGCCTCAGGGAAGTCACAAGAGTTCCTTGCTCACACAAACTACAAAGAGGAGGATCTAGCATATGGGTGAGATCTATGGTAGTACAGAATAATTTAATTAAGTAGCCAGTTATTTCCTGTGCAAAGTTGGTCCCCAACTGATCCTACTTCCAAGGTACCTCTGGATGCAGTGGCATGGCAGGGGCTCCCCTTCCTTCAGGCCCCTCAGTTCATTGTCCCTGGTTTTAGGAGGAAGGCCGACTCCCTGGCAGCAGTGACTCAAGCCAACAAGGCGGGCATACTGTGGAGAGGAAGCCTCCGTGGGGATGGTAGGTCATTGCTGGCAACTGGCTGACAGAGGTAGTGATGGAATCTGGCCTGGACTGAAGACTTGTGACCCCTGCTGAAGGGAGGATGAGCTGGGCCAGCCTCTGTCTGTGATAAGCCAGGCCAAGAGCCCATGTGTGGATGTGGCCACTTGTCCTCCATTGGCCTCCCACCCAATGTGGTCTCTGGGGCACCTTGGAGGACCTAAGGCTCAGTTTCAAACTCCTGTTTTGCTCACAGAGGAAGAGACCAGCACAGAGGGGCTGGTGTGAGCCTAGAACTCTGGTCCTTGCTGACCAGCATCCGGGTTGAGCTGTGTGTAGGACAGAGGTGGTGGTGGGGGTCCTCCGCCTGCTTGTGAGGGAACTGGGGAGAAGCCTTACATTTCAGGGCCTGGAGGCACCTTAAAACAACAGCTAGGGTCCTGGGTACACATCCACTAGAGGGTCAGCCCAGGAGTGATCTGGGTCTTTCCCCCAGGGACAGGCAGGTGGCCAAATGACCAGCTATGGGGGTTGGGGTGTAGGCAATGGGGGCGGGCAGGGGCAGAGCTGTTTTACAATTCTCTCTGGAACAGGGGCTGGGATGAGGCTCAGATGCTGGCTCAGATGATAAGGGTCCCTGGTCCCAAGGGAGCAAACAGAGTTGGGAACCACTTTACTACCCTCTGGGGACTGGTGGGAACGTGACTGGGGAGGAAGCAGCCATTGTCAGGCCTGTTGATAAGGCTCTTCCCTCCCACTCCTGACACAAGGTTGTCCCCTGACAGCGGGACTGCAGAAGCCCTGAGGCCTGGAGCATGGCAGTTGATTTGGCTATAGTTTCTATCAGCCCCAAAGCATGCAGAGGTCAATGCCTGGCTTGGCCTCGGTCGCCTCAGCACTGGGGACATCTCTGAGTGGCTTCCCTGGAGGGATGAAGGATCCCACGGGGTGAAAATCAGGATTCACTCATGGACATGGCTGGTTCTCCCTCCAGGAGAAGCTTTCGAGGAAGACCCAGGCTACTCTTGCGATGGATGGGCACAGGACTGCTCTGTACTGGTGAGTCCCTGACAACCCATCAGGAGACAGGAGATTGTTACTGCTGGTCTGCATACCTAGCACAGAATGACTCACACAGTCAGTCAACAAATGTTTGCTTAGCACTGAGTTAGGGACAGCCCCTGCCCAAGTCAGGAACTGAGGCCCCAACTAAGCCAGAGATCACTGCATCCTCCCAAGGCACTTCCTCAGCAGCAAGGGAGGACTCTGAAACACCCATGGAATGCAACAGATGTCTGGGAACACAAAGCATCTCTCCTGGGGAACTGCCAGAGAGAAGCAGGCTGTAGGTGGAGGAGGCCTGTGTGGAGTGAGCAGGCACTTCCTACTCAGACATTTCAGAGTTGGAGTGCTGAGAAAGGGCCCTGGTCCAGAGGGGAGGGATATGCTTGGACCCGGGGCTTGTGTTCAAGGCCAGAGAGAACCACTGAAGGATTTAAACAGGGAAGTGCCTAGGCTGGGAGCTGAGGTGTGGGTGAGAATGAAGCCATGAGAGAAGGGTGGGCTGGGTTTGACCAATACTGGGGGGGCAGCGCCAGATACTCTGGGGAAATAGCCAGGAGGATAGGATAAAGGGGACTTTGAATCACCGCAGGTTCTGGCCTGGGTGGTGGTGGGGGATAACAGTGAACTTGGCAGAGCTCCGGGATGCAGGTGGAGAAGGTGATCTTGCAGAGAGGAGGAAATGAGTCGGACAGCCTGCTGGAGGGACCACTGCCAGGCCACTATGGAAGACAGTCTCCCTGGGACACTTGGAAAATGAGTTGAGAAGTGTGTCAAAAGAGAAGTCTGGGGACCAGCACAAAAAAGGGGTTGGCAGAAGCCAAGGAGCAAAAGATTTCAAGACGATAACACTTCTGCAGAAGACCAGCAGCACCAGGACCGAGAAGCAGTGATTGATTTAGGGAAGGGAGGTCATGGTGACTTAGGGTACGGGTACACAGGGTAGGCTAATGGGGTAGGAGGTGAGACACTACAGGCAGGAAGTATGGACAGCTCTTTAGAGACATTTTTTATCAGTCCAGGGAAAGAATGTTGATGGCTGGACTGTGACATGCGTTCCTGACAGGAGATACTGTGGATCTGTTTATGTGCTGAGCTGGGAACTTTGTAGAAAAAAGGGAAATAGGAGAGAAAGCAATGACAGACAGAGTAAGGGCTCCTGAATGCATAGAATGCTTCCAGCCTAAGTTGAGGAGCAGGGCTTTTCTGGTGCCGCTCATTTTCTCCTAGAAGTTTGGAGGTAAAGAGGGAGGGTGGACATTGTGCAAAGGACATCATGGGTACCTAGGAGGGGAGAGGATGATGAGAGAATAGTGAAGGCCCCAGTATTCTTGAAGTACTTGACACCAGGGTCAACCATTTAGATGGGGTGAGTTCATGGTCCTTCACCTCATGGCCTGTTTTCTGTTGCTATAACCAAATACTCAAATCTTGGCCCTTTATAAAGCATAGAGGTTTGTTTAGCTCATGGTTCTGGAGGTTCAAAGGAATGATATTCACATTAGCTAGGTACATCTCTCCCAGAGAGCCTAATCACTCTTCTGGAGGCCCTGCCCCCTGCCATCATCACCACAGTGAGGGCTAAGTTTCCAACACCTAAATCCTTGGGGGACACAAATCACACCCAAACCACAGCCATTCTTCAAGCTTCCTCTGACAGTGGGGGTATCCTTTGGCAGGGTCATTGTTCCCCTTGCTGTCAGCTTCACTGGGACTCAGATTTTGTCTTGAAGGAGGATTGGATTATTTCCAGTACAGGACATACGTTACTCTTGCTCAGTCATTAGATTATCCCTTTCAGTGCTCAACCTTGCCTTTCTTGTGCTGGGGCACTCTGGATTCCCTCTGGCTCTTTCATACCTTGACTGTATCATCTCTTCCTTGGGGTAGCCCTCTGCAGTCTCTCCAGGTATGGTGGAGAAGTCTATGTCTTCCGTACTTCCGGCTTGATCTGTAACAATAGCTTCCTTACCTGACTTGGGAGTTCCGTGTGTACTGAGAGGTCTAGCCCATCAGACTAACACAGATGACCTTACTGTATCCAGTTTTGGAAGAAAAAACATGCCCCCTGCCCCTGCTTCCATTCAAAGTGCCAGGGAGGTTTCTGATTGGCCAGGCCCAGGTCATGTGCCTGTCCTGAACCAATAGCTGTACTCATCTGGCTCCAGCAGTAGGGGGTGCCTCCACTGAGGGCGGAAGTGTGTGTGTGGCGCTTCACTGGTCCCTCTCAAGCTTCTCCAACATATAACCAGCACCTGGTAAACACATCCTACCTTTGACACAGTGGCCCCAGAGTTCGCTTTTCCAGGCAGAAAAGCCAGGCTCAGGGAGACCAAAAGTGCTTTCCTGCCCCCTGCGCTCCAGATGGAGTGATGTGGAACAGGTTGTGGGGCCATGCCACAGTGTCCCCTTCTCTGTCCCCAGCATATGCCGCCTTCCTGCTCACTGCCTGCCTTCTGGACTTCCAGAGGGCCCTGGCACTTAGCATTGTAACCTGTGTGGTCCTAGCCTTCCTGGTCCACAGCCTGCTGAAGAGGTGTTTGGGCCCAAGGCTGAGGAGCTGTGCGATGCTTCGGGGCCACCCTCGCCTGCGCCTCTGGTTTAACAGGTGAGTGAGCACCTGCTGCCTGCAGGGAGGAGGGGGCTCCTGGATCAGAGGGTATGCGCTGCACCCTGCCCACCTTCTAGGGCCTGGCACAGCAGCTGCTAGACAGCTTCAAAGGCAGCACATCTTTGTGGGGTTTGCCAGATTTCTGCAATTTGTTCTGTGCCCCAGTTACCACAGGTAATAGTGATGCAGAAACTTTCTGGGAGCCTGGCCCTTCCAAGCATACAAGTCCTTTCTTAGCATCTCTTGTCATATCCTGTGGGGGACTGTCTGCCTGTGGAGTCTGGGGAGCAGGGTAGATAGGGTACAGGTGCCAATAGCTTTAATTAGTTCTCAGAGTTCCTGGATAAGAGTTTGGAATGGGATACTTTGGTTGTCAAACTGAGTTTCTTGGAGCTCTAGAGACCATGGAGATGCTGAAGAGTAGGAAAGAGAGAGCAGGGAAGAGAGTATCAGACTTGTCTTAGTCTGTGTCATGATGCTGTAACTCAGTACCACAGACTTGGGTGATTTATAAAGAAGAGAAGTTTATATTGGCTCAAGGTTCTGGAGTTTGGAAGACCCAAGAGTCTTCTAGTGAGGGCCTTGTGTGGCTTCACCTCGTGGCAGAAAGTGGAAGGGCAAGTGGTGTGAGAAGAGGCAAAGCAGGAGAGGCAGCCTAGACTTTGAGCAAGCCACTGTCACAGTGACTCATCCAGTTCTGGAGGGCAACAATTCCCTGATTCCTGCTTGAATGAACCCATTTCTTTAAGAAACGCATTAACTTCTCTCAACAATCTGTTAGAGGTCCCACCTCTCCCTACTGCCATCTATTAAATTTTAACATCAATTTGGCAGGAACAAACCACATAGTGTTGCACCCTCACCCTTAAAACTCTTCTCCTCACACACAACATCCCAGTGGTCCCCAGAGTCTTAACCTGGCCCAACATCAATTCCGAAGGCCCAAGTCTCATCTGAGACAAAAGGCAAAGTCCTTCTAACTGAAAGTCCTTCCAGCTGTGGACCAAGATAAAGTCCAGCATCTCTTTCTAAAATACAGAGGAGGGCCTAGAATGGGGTAAGAAATCATTCAGTAAAAAGTCATTCAGAAGGTAGTCAGGAAGAAGGGAGCTAAACCTAACAAAGAAAGCAAAACAGGGGCCTGGGGTTTAGCTCAGCAGTATAAGCACCTGTCTGGCAAGCACAAGGTCGTGAGTTCGATCCCCAGCATAAAAAAAAGGGAAAAAAAGCAAAACATTGGAGTCTTCAAGCTTCATAATAATTATTCACACCATGTGTTGCCTCTCAGACATCCAGGGATGACTGGGCCTCTAAAATCTGGGCAATCTGGCCCCATCACAGGTGCTGCCATGGGTTGAAGCAACACTCTGGAGCCTGCAGCTTGCCTGGCCTGGCACAATGTATCACTATAGCTCTGCCAATCTGGGGGCCTGAGGAGGTCTGCCCTCCTCAGGTGGAGGAAGCCACACCACTATGCTCTTGCATCCTGTGTATCTGCAGAGTTAGTACCTCAGGGCCAGGGACCACCCTGGCTAAGGCATGTTGCTGTGCCCTGGGGGTGAGGTACGCATTGCAGAGCCCCAGAGACCAGAAAGCACCCTAGAGAAGAAACTTCAAAAATCCACAGGGTCCCTTTGAATGTCCAGTAGAGTTGTGACTGGTAAATGTGTGGGGAAACTGTCCACAGCCTAGGAAAGAAGCCAAGGGAGGAAATTGTGCCTGGCACCACGGAGGTCTGGGGGAAGTGTGTGTTCCCACACTCGGAGTAAGAGCCCATCACCTACCACCCACAGGGCCTGACATGGAACACTGATCCGAGCTTGGCCTGTCCCATCCTTGAGTGCTGCCATGTACACATGTGTATATGTGCATGTACAAGTGTGCACATGTGTGCCTGTGAGATCTAGAGGTGATAGCTTCCTGCCTCTCTTCTGCAGAGCTCTTGCCCTCACTGCGGCCCTGGCCTTGGCCTTGTGGCTGGCGCTGGACACTTCCCAGAGGCCTGAGCAGCTGGTGTCCTTCGCTGGGGTCTGTGTGTTTATCTCCATCCTCTTAGCGTGCTCGAAGCATCGCCATGCTGTGAGTGCCTAGTGGCAGCCCAATCGGAACTTGGGAGATGCCCCATCCTTCCTCCCCAGGGCCAGGGTGGGGAGCCAAGGGTCCAGATGCTCTTGTTGGGAGGCTCCTGAGGCCCAGAGCCATGGGGACAGGCACCCTGTGAAGCTGGCAAGGGGAATCCTGTGATGGGAGACCCCATGGGAGCCACATCTCTTAGCAAACTCCTCAATGTGCCCAGCAGGGCAGGGATATTCCTGGAAGGAATTGAGGATATTGTTCTAAATTAACTGGCTGCCAGGGACGTTTATTCTCTTGGTGACGTGACCTCTGGTCAGTCTAAACCTGGCCCTCCTGTCTGTTCCTTAGTAACCAGCCCCATATTCCTGAGTTTCAGAGTCTATGTGAGGAGCCCAGGATTTCCAAGAATTGTTACCTTGAAATAATGGTTCTTAAAGTCTCCTTCCTTGACCAGCAACATCAGTATCAGAAATGCTACTTCTGAGCTGTGCATAATGGCTTATACTTGTAAAATCCAGCACTCTGGGAGGCTGAGGCAGAATGATCGCCAAGTCTGAGTCCAGTTTGGGCAGCTTAGCAAGATCCTGCCTTGAAATGAAAAATAAAAATAGTCTGAGGATATAGCTCAGTGTGAAGGCCCCAGTACAGCAAAGAAACATGGAAGGAAAATGGGGTAACCCAAAGAATGTGCCTGCTGAGGGCATGGCCTGTGCTGAGTCCCTGGTACATGTAACCATTTAGTGGCAGGCTCAGAGCTCCAGCTGTCCAGCTGCATCCCACAGGCCAGTCACAGCTCCCTGAGGCCCCTACCCTCAACCCACATTGTCCTGTGGGGTCCCCGGGAACTGAGCTCACCAGGCCTTTCTGTTGGTGGCAGGTGTCCTGGCGGACTGTGTCCTGGGGCTTCGGGCTCCAGTTTGTGCTTGGACTCTTCGTCATCAGAACAGAGCCTGGATTTATCGCGTTCCAGTGGCTTGGTGATCAGATCCGCGTGCGTACGCAGGCCTGGCTGCCCGTGAAGGTGGGAGGCGGGCAGGGGCCTGGAGAAGGCTTGAGTCCAGGAGGGCTTCCAGGCTGGCAGGACACTGCTTCTTCCTCAGACTGGCACTGGAGTCCCTTCCGAGGCAGGGCTGTTAGGAAGGGAGCCCCAGGCAGATCGATCCTTAGGGTACCGGGACACTGGTGTGTGTAGCCCATTTCAGTCATAGTTCAAATTGCTTCAAGCAAAATAGAATACTCTGTACATATATGAGTTCAGAAATAATGTTGCAGTCTTTTATTTCTTTTATTTATTATCATTATTACTATTTTTGCAGTACTGGCGATTGAACCTGGTAGTATCCTGCACTGAGTATCTCCCCATCCCTTTTTGTAAATTTTGAGACAGAATTTTGCTAAGTTGCTTAGGCTGGGGCTTGACTTTGCAATCCTCCTGCCTCAGCCTCTCTCAGTGCTGGGGTTATAAGGGTATGTCACTGTGCCTGGCTACTTTATTCCATTTTATTGTATTAAAATTCATATAACATAAAATGTATCATTTAGCCTCTTTTCACTGTTACTAGGTTCATGCACATTGTGTGTAACTGTTAGGACCTTCTGGGTTTTTTTTTTTTTTTGGTCTTTTTCATTTTTATCAGTACCAGGGGATCGAACTCACAACTGCCTGCTTGCAAGGCAGGTGCTTGTGCCACTGAGCTAAACCTCCAGCCCCTCTTTGTTTGTTTTTGAGACAGGGTCTTGCTATGTAGTCAAGGCTGGTCTTGATCTCACTAACTATGTCACCTCAAACTTAAAATCCTCCTCCCTCATTCTCCTAAGTGCTAGAGTTATAGGCATGTCCCCTCATGCTGGCTTGGTCTACTTTTTAAACTCTGTGGAAGACCCAGGTGAAGGCTCTGCTCACCTCCTGTCACTGCCTGGCACATCTGTGGCTCTGTCTGTGCTCTGTTCCCACCTCAGGGCATCTGCCTGGGTCACATCCCCATTTTATAGTTGGGAACACTGAGGCCTAGACTAGGCAAGTGACTGGGTTCGCTATACCAGTGCAGGACTTAAAACATAGGACTCCTGGAGAAGTCTGCCTGGAATGGGGACGGTAGAGGCAGGCTGTGCCTTTGGCTGTTGGGACTGAGTAGGCACAACTGGCACCACCTGTGGCCACCTCCTCACTGCACATGAGGTCTTGGTCCTCCTATTTTTTTTTTAATTTCCAGGTACTGGAAATTGAACTCACAACCTTGTGCTTGCCAGGCAGGTGCTTATGCCACTGAGCTAAATCCCCATCCCTGCCCTTTGGTTTTTTAATTTTTGTTTCCATTTTTGCAGTTCTGGGGATTGAACTCAGGACCTTTGCACTAAGCTGTATCCCTAGCACCGCCTAACACGCCCTTTTTAATTTATTTTTATTTTTTATCTTTAGACAGGACTTCACTAAGTCACTAAGTTAGGGACCGGGCTTGTACTCAACATCCTCCTGCCTCAGCCTTCCAGAGTGCTGGGATTATAGATTCACCCCATCATGCCTGTCTTCATGATCTCTTCTTTATTGCTCTTAACAACTCTAATCTCAAGGTGTTTCTTTAAAAGTTGACTAAAAATGTGTCTCTTCTGAGGAATGTGCTTCTGAGATCACTATTGCTGCTTTAGCAGAGGTAGGGGGCCAGGGGACTATCACAGGGCCAACCTGCCCGGTGCCAGGAGGGGCCGTGGCCACAGCATCGTCCTCTCCCACCTGGCTGGGGCTCTGTCCCCTCTCCGGAGGGTCCCAACCTCATCCCCATTTCCTTCTTCCTCCAGATCTTCCTGAGCTATGCTGCCGTGGGCGCCAGCTTTGTGTTTGGGGAGGCGCTGGTCAAGGCCGTCTTCGCCTTTCAGGTCAGCGTGATTCTTGGTAGTATTTCCAGCTGGTCCAGTCTCCAGCCAGCAGGAGCCCGAGTGGCAGAGGTTGGGGTCAATGGCAGGGGACTTCCGGGGCACACTGTGGCTCCTGAGAACCAACCCAGAGGGGGACCCCAAAGTGTGTCCACTGAGTGTGTTATTTATGCTGTGCTTTTTAAAATTCAGAAAAGAAAGCTATTTTGGCGTTCTTTTCCTCAACTTGAGCCATGACAGAATCTCTCAGAGGCTGAGGATAAGAAGTGGAGTGGGAGGCTGCCAGGACCTGAACGGGGACATGCTGAAGGGCTGTGGGCCTAGACAGGACGGTGTCCAGAGGCTCCGTGGTCATCTCAGAGGCTGCTCTTCCCAGGGCCCTCAGCCGCCTCCACCGGGAGGCCTCCCCTTCACAGTCCAGCGACATCTCCTCCTCTCTGCCTTTCTCTCTCCTCCATGGAAACTTACTGTGTATCTCCTGTCATACAAGATATTACAGGAGAAATTGAGATTAAAGCCGCTTCCAAGCTGGCCGTGGTGTGTACACCTGTGGTTCCAGCACAGTGGCAGCTGAGGCAGGAGGGTCGGAAGTTCGAACCCAGCCTGGGAAAGAAAATTGGCAATTTAGTGAGAACTTGTCTCAAAAAATAAAAGGCCGGGGATGGACTCATTGTGAAGGCTCTGAATTTAAGCCCCGGGAAATATCCTCACCTCCTAAGAGACCCTCTTAGGTTGCTTTTGAAGACCTAATTGTCTGATGGAAGAGCCCCAGCCCGGACTGAAGACCAGTAGCTGTGCGCAGCCGCTCTGGCTGGAGGTGAGCTTGTAGTGCTTCTCTGTTTCCTGTTCACCTCGTGAGGACTAGAGCAGGCCTGCTCTCCCTGCCTCCCACCAGGCTTTTGAGGAGGCCCTGGCTGCTCCTGCCTAAGCTCTTCCCTCAAATGCCAGGCAGAGAGACGGGGAGCCCTAGACCCTGCACTTGACCCTAGTTTTCTGCCACAGATATTGTGGCCCCATGAAGGGAAATTGCTGCTGCCTGCCTGGTGTGTCCTGGACCACTGTCCCCATGGAGGAGCTAAGCAGGACCCATGTGTAGATTTATGCTTTGTTTTGGGGGGTGGTGATTGGACTGACAGCCTTCACACTAAGCTACATCCCAGCCCTTTTGTATTTTGAGGCAAGTTCATGCTAAACTGCTGAGTTGCTTGCCATCCTCCTGCCTCAGCCTCCCAGAGTGTTAGGATTCCAGGCACGTGCTATCATGTCTAGCTTAAAGGTTTTTGCTTTAGATCATTACTGTGGCTACTGTGTCCTCCTCACTCTCCTAGGGGATTGGACCTAGGAAGCTTTCTGCCTAAACTATGGACTTGGCCGTGGAGCTTTTGGCTGACGTAGGCCAGATGAAGTCCAGACCCTCCTGCCTGGCCTGACCTGACCTCCAGGGCTCCCCTTGGAGCCTTGGTGTTGTTGCACTGCACCGTAGGGCTCTCTGAGGAATGTCAGCCTGTTGCAGTCCTGCCAGCTCTAGAAGCAGAGGAGAGAAGCGGCTCCTGCCAGCTTCAAGATTCTGCTAGCCCATTTAGTTTTCTCATACCAGGTCTGTAGAAGGAAGGTATTGGGATAGGCAGCCTCTGTCAGGCTCCCAGGGGTACCCTAATACCATCCCCTCAGGGTTGTGGGGCACTGCTCTGTCCTGTCTGCATAACCAGGGATTCAAGGAAGAGCAGGAGAGATCCGATTCATGTATGGAAGCCCCAGTGGCTTCTTGGCTTTGGAAAACAAACACGCAGCCCTCTCTGCATGATCATCTCCAGGGTGCTGGACTCAAGGGCAGTGAGGGGCACAGAGGCAAGTTCCTTGCGGATCCCCGGAAGGAGGATGGTTTATAGCTAGGACAGAGAAGCTTCCCAGAGGATGCAGCATTCAACAAGGGGCTTCAGGATGTGGGGAATTGGGACATGGAGCTGGAACCAAACAGCTTGAGTGAAAGCATGAGGGTGACAACCTGCTGGCATGGCCAAGGAGGCGGGACACATCTGGTTTGAGAGCCTGAGAACCATTTCAGTCAACTGGGTTCTGTCCCCAGCACACAAGGAGCTGCTTAGGGTTTGGGATAAGGAAGGACTGGATTGGTGCCCTGGATGATCGACAGGTCAGTCGTGGCAGGAAGCTGCTTCATAATCCAGGAGAAAAGTCTCTGAGGGGTCACAGGACAAAGGTGAGACAGAGCTGTGACCTGTGTGGAGCTCAGCACTTATTTCCACATGTCATGTGGTTGCATTTAGCCATCAGAGGACAGGGTTTTGGTATTGGTCATCTCTGTGTGTGCTACCCAGCCCTAAGCCCCACATATCCTGCCCAGGGACTTTGCTGTCTACTGAATGAACAGATGAATGAAGCAAATAAGCGATATGTGGTCCCGGGAAGTCCCTTCCTTCGTGTTGGGAATGCCCTGCTCCATGAGCTCCCTGCTGCTGGCTGGCCCACCACTTCCCTGGGGCCAATACTGGGACCAAGCACCCCTTTCTTTAGCCTTCCCAGCCCTCTGGAATCAAGAGCTCCACACAGGTTTAAGAGCAAAGCTTAGGGCTGCTATGAAATTTTTGTCCCTTCTATTGCTGACATCTTAGTGGAGCAGAGAAGAAAAGCTCAGGAGAGGAGGCACGGTCCCACTGAGGGCGGGGTAGGGCGCTCAGCCTCACAGCACCCTGCAAGGGAATGTTCACAGCCGAGGGTCTGGAGGTTCAGAGTGGCACGAGGTGACACAGCCTGTGAAGGCTGGGGTCCAGATCTGAGCTGAGGTCGTAGCCCTGTTCTTTAGCTTCTGGCACTGACCCCTGAGTCCCTTCCTTAGCCATGGTGACGGAGAGCCCTTGACCTTAGGATGGTTGTTTTCTCGCTGTTTGTACGAAAATAGTGTCCTTAGGACTATTTGGCCCCCAGTGATGGAAACTTACTTATAACTCGATTTAAAGAGTGGAAAGGTTATTTCTTGACTTCCGAACTGGGCAAGGTGGCGAGGCTGCTCCAGGCCTCATGCGGACTCTGGGACGCGAAGTGTCCATCTCACAATGCGTGGCCCACACCTGGGGCAAGTCTTCTGCACCATCCTGGTGAGACAGGTCCCAGGGCAGGATTCTCACGGGTCCATTCGAACCCATCCCTAGAGGCCGCCCTTGGTTCCTGCTGTGGGAACCAAAGAGGGGCACACATACCTGAGGCTGGGAGGGAGAGACACTACCAGGCAGAAGCAGCCCTTAGAAATGCATAGCCTGGAGCAGTTCCCAGGATGAGCTTTCCAGCCCCGCTGTGGAACACTAGGCAACAGATCCCTGTTTTTAGAGACCTCTGTGCTACAAGGGTTTGGGATCCAGTAAGGATAAAACCTGGCTGACTTGTAGCATCCAGCCTGTGGAAGGTAGCACTGGTGTGGACCCTTGGCTCTTTCTTCCTATAGCTCAGCAATTTGAGTCACATCTGGGAGACCAGGCTGCATGTCCTGGCTAGTGACTGGCTCCTGAGTTAGTTATAAGTGACTGAAATACAATGCAGACTGATTGCGGGGTGGGCAAGGTGTTAATTCCTACAACCAGGAAACTCAGGAGTTTCAGGTCCTGCTGGATCCAGGTGCTCACATGAACTGGGACCTTCTTTGCTTACATCCTGGTTCTGTTCTCTCCGTACTAGCTTTAGTCTTGAGCAGGCTGCCTTATAATGATGGCAGATATGTACCATGCTCACATTCAGCCATATTGGAGATCTAGGGAGGGAGATGAGTAAAGAAGAAACAAACAGGCAGACAAAATGTTCCACCAGCTCCAGCAGGGTTGGTGTGGTAAACTGTAACCAGGCTTTGTTCACATCGGGAGCCCAGAGGAACAGAAGCAGGGAAAGGGGTGCTGGGCAAACAGTGCAGCCCCCCAGAGCCGAGTTGCTTCTCTCCAGCCCAGCTCTGCGAGTGCTGCCTGGCTGCCCGTGTCCTCCCGTCTGGAGAATACAAACACCTGGTACCTGTCTCGCTTCCTAATAACTCCAGAGCCATCTGCTTCTAGACCTTGAGTGCTAGGAGGGAGCTCTGTAACTGTGGGGCTCCCCTTTGTGTTACAGAGGGTCCCACCATGCCTCAGAGGGGAGCACGGAGCCCCTGGCCCTCTAATCACAACAGTGCCCACTGGGAACAGTAGCCATGGCAGCAAAAGACTCTCAGATTCCATGTTCCCGAAGAGGGAAGTAACCAGTGAGGTGGGTTTATCATTAGCCAGCCTCTGCATTTCACAGTCAGACAAGCACCAACAACTTCCTGGCCCTGGGAGGGAGAGCTCTTGTTCAGTGTGATGGCCGTGGTGTTCTTAGCAAAGCCAGGCCATGCTGGGGAGGACTTGAGACATGTGCTCCCTGGCCACAGAATTCCCATTTTCCCGAGTCACTAACCACGAGATCTCATTCCATACACAGCTTCCCTCCCTGTCCCTCGGTCTCTCTCTGTCCCTGGGGCTTGCCTGCCAAGTAGGGGTGGCCCGGCTGAGTGCGACCCTGGAGTTTTCCTTGTTCTTTTCTATGAATCACATGCCTCTGGTCCTCAGCCCCTGACCAGTTCTGCCTGGGGAGTCTCCCCAACCTCACTCAGACTTCCAGAATCGGAGCCGCTTCCCCTTGGGCAAGGTCCAGTGCTCTCTTCAGGAAGTTCAGTCCTTCTCTGGGCTTCTTTAGCCCTCAACCTACCCTGGATCTGGAGCCCAGCCCAGCCGACACAGCAGCCACCTCCTGGCTGGCTCTGCCCGATTCGTCATTCCACTTTGGCTCTCTGTCCCTCCAGTAACTTTCCACCCGCGCAAGCACCCCCAGCTTCCGTGTCCTTGGGCCAGCTGAGCTGGGGTCACAGGTTGGTTTTCTCCCAGGGCTCCGGCCTCCAGCACAGGCCCCCACTTCCTCAGCCTCGCACAGCTGCTTGGATTTCCCCCAGGAACTCTAGTTCTCATCTCTCCAGTGACGGCTGGGTGTCTGGCTGAGGCCAGCTGTAGTCCCCGGTTGTCACCAATGCCAGCTTTTACACACACACACACACACACACACACACACACACACACACACGCACACACCACCGATCAAATGAGATAAGGCCTGGAAGGCTTTGCAGGATTTGGCAAGAGGGTGGGGCACCCTCAGTGAGCCCCACCTTCAGGGGTGGCGTGGGACGCCATAGAGACCTGGCAGAGAGGCTGAAAGAGATGTGGGACAGTTGAGGCAAAAGCTTTGTTGTGAGTGAGGTCCCCAGCAGGGATGGACACTAGGGGGAGATTGGCGAGGTCATCCTGGATGAAGGGGTGGCTCACACAGGACATTGGGCACGCAAGCAGGGACAACAGGAGCCCAGGGTGGCGGACCTGAGCTGTCCTGCTTTGGTGATGTTGGGGCTCGCTACAGTTGTCCCTGAGGAATCCTCAACTTTATGACTCATGGCTGTGGCCCATGGCCGGTGACCAAGCACTGTCTACAGTGCTCGGACCTCAGGGTCTGGGGACATGAGGGCTGCCCGCACAACCTTAGGAAGTCATGAGTGATGATTCCTTTTGCTCTGGGATGGGAAGGACAGGGCGGTGCCCTCAGTGGGCATGATCCTGCCTCTGGAGCCTGATTACAGGCAGGGTGAGTCTGTTTGTCCCACAGCATGGTCTGGACTGTCCAGGGCACTGGTCTCAGAGGTGCCATTCTGTGCAGGCGATCTGAAACTCTGGGATGGGAAGCACAACATGCTCTTTTTTTCGAATCCTCAGATGGCCACACTGTGCGCCCCACCAGCCCAGGAGAGATGGGAGCTCCTCCTTCTCGGGTAGACCAGTCGTGCAAAGCCCCACTTGGCTCTTCCTAGAGAACTGTCTTGATCCATCTGGCTGCTGTAACACAGCCACAGACTAGGTAGCGTGCAGACACCATTACTCACCATTCTGTGCTGTGAGGCTGCAGGGTCAGGCTCTGAGGAGGGCCTCTTCCACATCCTAGACCACTGTTTGTGCTGTGTCCTTACACTGGAAGGAAGGAGGAGATATCTGAGGAGGATGCTGCTGCTTTCCTCCCCACCCCCCACCATGGCACTAGGGATGGAACCCAGGGCCTTGTGCATGCCACGCAAGTACTCTACCACCGAGCCCCATCCCTAGCCCTTTAAAAAATTCTTTATTTTTAATTAATCCTATTTGTGGCTCAGGATCTTGTGCATGTTAGTCAAATTCTCTACTGACAGGGTCCACACAAAGTTGCTTAGGTTGGTGTTAAACTTTTGATCCTCCTGGGGCATCTTTTATAAGGACACTTCCTCCTCCTCCTCCCCCTCTTCCTCTTCCTCCTCCTCCTTCTTCGTCTTCTTCTTTGTCTTTTTGAAATAGGGTTTCATTATGTAGTAGGGCAGTCCTTGAGCTCACTTTCTAGCCAAGGCTGGTCTTAAACTCACAGCCATCCTCCTGCCTCAGCCTCCTGAATGCTGGGATTACAGGTGTGTGCCACCATGTCCAGCCCAGACACTTCTTCCTAATGCCATCATTTATGGGTTTAAGTTTCAACATATGACTTTGAGGAGGGCACAGACAGTCAGTCTATAGCAGAGATGAACACTGCTCCTGAAAACAAGAGATGCAAGCTCTGCCAGGGAAAGTCTGCTGGGTCCTGCAGGACCTTGGCAACATGTCTGGTGGCCAGGAGCCTGTCCTTTGTTAGGTGTATGACCTCTGAGACTTGCATTGTGCCCATTTGTGAAGTGGAGACAGTTAACATGTACTTCAGTGGCTTTAAGTCTCAGTGAGCCACCACAATTTGGGTGCTTGGCACACAGGAGGACTTCATGGTAGGCACATAGTATGACTTACTGACCCTTCCCTTGGCAGCACTGCCCTGAGCTGGCTGTTCTGTTCTTCTAGCATCCCAAGCACCATAGGGCCCCAAGGCATATCCTGGGCTATGATGTCATATGGCCATATTTAAGATTAAATGTTTCTTCTTAGAAAATCAGTGGTCACCTCTGTTCTCCCATTTCCCTTCCTTCATTAGAGAGTCATAACTTAATCCAAAACACAGCTCCCCCCCCCCCAGATCCCCATCTTGCAGATAGATAATTCTCTTGGTGCCAGTTCTGCAGTCCGGTCACATGCCTAGGCACCTCCTTCCTGGCTCAGCCTGGCTCTGCAGCCCTGCCAGCTGCCAGCAGCCCCTGGCATGACCCGCTGCACAGGCAGTCTAGATGCTACGTGATCATCAGCTCGATGTCGCCACCCCAGGCAGCAAGGAGGAGTCACCAGCAAGAGAGGGCTTTGGGAGTCAGCACTGCTGGCTGTCAGATTACATCCCAGCCACAGGGACGTTGGTGCAGATGTGGAGGGGAGGAGCCCCAGCAGGGCTTCCTCATCTCAGCTGGAGCCACCTGGGGCTGTGATTCACATCTGGAGGGAGACGCGCACAAGCCCTGCTGGACCCATGGCCTGCCAGCTGTGCCTCTTGTCACTTACCCTCCTGGGCCGGCTGACTTGCAGCCTCTCTCTCCACAGCCACGCTGACCCTGCTCTCTCTGAAGCTACCAGGGCCCCCTAAATTGTGAGGTGCCAAGGGTCCACCTCTGGCCTCCCAGAACTGGCACCCCACACCATGCTGGCTGCATACTTTCGTGGCTGGCACACCCTCTCCTGGACGTCTTCCTGCCTCCGGGTCTCCCTGGCCCCTCCGTGTCACTAACCCAGGGCCCTGTCCTCAGCCCCTGCTCTGCTCTCTCAGGCAATCATGTCCTTGACCCCACACATTTCCAGCTGACCTGGATCTCGGCTCCTGACCTTTCCCCAGCTGTCCACCTGACGTGTGCCACCTGGGGGTACCACAGGCATCTCAAACCCACCTGTGTATCTCCCCCAGACCTCTACTATGCCTTTGCCCCTTCACAACTGCCCACCTATTCTAGAAAATTAGCGGAACAGATGAAAACTCAGAAATAAAGAAAAAAATACTCATAGCCTAAGTACCCAGAAGCAAGTCCTGGGAGTGTTGCCTTCCAAGCTCCTCCTATGTCTTTTTTTTTTAATATTCCAATTTTCCCATCAATATTTTAGCATCAGATCATTCCCCTGGGATTACTAACTCTGCGTGACTTTAACAGGGATTAAGTGTTTGAAAGAACAAATACTCTTAACAGTGTAAAAGGCTACAAAGAAAAAAGTAAACTTTCCTTCTGCCCTGACCCCCAAGGCCCCTCCTCCCTTCCCCAGGGCATTGCTGCCACTGGTACCGTGCGTGTCCTTCTGGTGCCATCTTGGGTCCACACAAGACAGCGAACCCCCTTTCCTCATTTAACAGTTTGTCTTAGAATGCCGGTTCCCCAGAGAGCTTCCTCATTCTTTTTTCTGGACTTTTAGTGCCCTGAGGTGCAGCTACACCACCCGTTACTAATCAGCCCTCCCTCAGCCGAAGGATGGGGATCACGCTCGAAAGCCCCATGTGGGCTGTGGGCCTGGAAGGGAGGGAACAAATGGGCAGGTGGAGGAATGGCTGAGTGCGGAGCTAATGAGGAGAGAGGTCGGGGCTGGGGGAGGGAAGCGGTGACAGGATGAGGTGCTGGTTGCAGGTGTGGGGTGAGTCTGCTGGGAGCTTGCTGGCACAGTGTAGGAGTAGGAAGTCAGTGACAAGGTGCTCTCATTCCAGCTGATGTGGGCCACAGCCACAGGCCAGGGACTGGGCCCTGGGGGCCGGGACACCATGCAAACTGCCAGGCTGTAGCTGGCTCCTTTCACGCCCAGCAGCCCTGGAGGGAGAATTTGCTCCCATCCTGAGGCAGAGAAGCAGCAGGTGTTAAAGGTGCACACTGACTTGGTGACCCTGTGTGTGGTGGAGGGCAGCCCGTGGATTGTCACTACGCGGAGCCGAGCGGAGGACAGTAGTGCTTCCAGGAGGCCCCTCATGCCAGCACGGATTTCCTGCTCTGGTCACAGCTTCTTCCCAAGCCTGGCAGGTCAGGCCAGGTCTCAGATGGAAGGGCTGCTGGCCCCAGTCCTGCCTGCCTCTAACCTGCTCCTGTGTGCTCTTCGCTGCCAGGTTCTGCCCATCATTGTTTTCTTCAGCTGCATCATGTCAGTGCTCTACTATTTGGGCCTGATGCAATGGGTGATTCTGAAGGTGAGTTATCCCCACAGCAGGGCTCTCCCACAGTCACCAGCTCTCAGAGACCACATCCTCTCAGAATCCCTTGCTTTTGAGGTTCACGTCCTCCCCAAATCCCCTACTCTCAGGGTCCATCCCTTCTAGAATTCCTTGCCATCAGATTCCATACCTTCCCAGAAGCCCTTGCTGCTGAGGTCCATATCTTCCCAGAATCCTCTCCTGTCATATTTACAGTCTCCCAGAATGTGAAATCAAACATTCAGTCACAGGTCTTTTGTTGTGATACTAAAAAGACATGGCACCCAAATCCATGATGGTCCTTGTGGGTAAGATGATTCTAGTCTTGAGGTTACATTGAGTTGTTAAGGAAAATATAATTTTTACCCAAAAGATCATGAGAGACTAACAGTGGGTAACACTGGCCAGACTTATTTGGTATCTATCAAATCTTGTGCCTAGCCAGGCATGGTGGCTCACGCCTGTAATCCCAGCACTATGGAGGCTGAAGTAGGAGGATTGTTGTGAGTTCGAGACCAGCCTGGGCTACAAAGTGAGTTCAAGGCCAGCCTGAACTGCACAGCGAGACCCTGTCTCAAAAAGACCAAAAAAAAAAAAAAAATCCTGTGCTTATGTTCACAAAATCTGCTGCATAAAATTAGACTTAAGAGACAGCATTTGCTAGTGTTGGGCCTGGCAAGAGACTTGGGGCTTTCCGAGTAAGTCAGCACCATGGGTGGCTACCAGCAATGCAGAAGCAACCTGTGGTTAAGACTGGGCTCTGTAGTATGAAGCAAGTGACTATCCTTAGACCTGGAGAGTTTCACCACAAGACTAGGACAAATGGAACTATAAACTGGGCTTGATACTGCACCCTCCACGAAATGATGGACAAAATAAAGACCAGGATACCAGAAGGGTTGCCAGAGAGGCAGTGGAGAAAGATTTGGTAGAGTCAGGGTTTGTCTTGACTAGAAGGAAGAGCTGTTCACAGTATCTTCCAAATGCTCTTCTGCAAAACTCTGATTCCCCAGCATGTTAATCAATGTTATTAAATAGAGGGATCTCTGATCAAATAACTTGGGAAAATCAGATTAGACACAATGCTAAACAAATTCAAATAAGCAAGATCTCTTAGAGCCTTTACTAAGTTAATATGTGTTGGTAATCTCCAAGGAGGTGTGTGTTTACCAATTATCGAATATATTTAGCTAAGCAGACAGAGAACACACGTATTAGAGGCCTGCTCTAGTGCCCAGCACTAGTAATTAAGATGCATAAGGTGGTCTGGGGCAGTGGTTAGCTGCCCTTGGTGGAAAAAAATAGATCAACCTTTTGAGGGGTGCGTATTAGATCTGCTTTACTCTGCTGCTTGTTGACCTAATAGAATGCCACAGACTAATTTGTAAACACTAAGGGTTTATTTGGCTCAGGCGCCAGTGGCAGGACAGTCCGGGAACGTGGCGCTGAGGTGTGGTGAGGGCCTCTACTGCTGCCCCCTCCATGACACAGGGACAAGCAGGCCTGTCAGATGCAGAGAGGAAGGGTGGGCTCTATCAGCCCACCAGGAGCACCCACTTCCTCCCCAGATCGCCTGGCTGATGCAGATCACCATGGGCACCTCAGCCACTGAGACCCTGAGTGTGGCAGGAAACATCTTTGTGAGCCAGGTGAGTGCTACCATCCCCCAAAGAGGGTAGGGTGTCCGGGCCCCCAGTTCTCATTTAGTCCAGGGAATAGCTGTGGGAAACTTCTCCTGGGGTTGCCATAGGCTGCTGCCCTGGGGTACCTGAGGTCCTCCATGGAGGGGGGTACACTCTCTTGGGCTGGACCCCTCACAAGTGTTGTATGAGAAAACTGAGGCTGGGAATGGGGTGACATGGCTGAGGTCCCACATGGATAAGCCAAGATTGGAATTGGGTTCTCTCCTTCCTGGCCAGTGTTATTCCCTCTCTATCATTTTGTCTTTTTTTCCTCTCCATCTTTCTGAAACATATTTTCCAAAGTTCCTATGACTCTGAGTCCCTTGAGGCCTGATTCCCCAATAGGGGGACTCAGGAGGCCCCATTCCAGGGCCTCTCCTGTCCAGGCTGCCTTGCTCCCACGTTTCTGACAGACACGCTTGTTAAAAGATGCTCTTTTTGATCCAATAGTTTAGGAGACTTTGGAGAATTTCTGTGTTTTTTTTCTATAGTACGAAAGGGTTGATCTCAAAGGTTCGTGTTTGTTATTCACCAATTATGACAGATGTCCTCTCAGAAAAGTTGTCCCACAAATACCTTCAGATGTCCAAAATGAGGCAAAAGAGGAAGAGGACCCTGAGACACAAAAGCTCTTATCTCATGTGAGCACCTGCAAGCACAATCTGTTTCTGCTGAGAAAATATAAATTGTAGTGCATGTGACATCAGGTGACACAAAGAGCTACCACGGTGAATTAGCTTTGGACAAGTTGTTGGCCGAGGTGACCAGACTTTCAGGTCTTTGCCTCAAGGGGAGAGGACGGGAGCCTTCATGAAGTGGCAGCACCATTGCTACAGAGTCCATGCGCCCTCCCAGAGGACCACAGCAGCCCATGGCTCCAGATGCCCGGTGTCTCTCTCTGGAACTTGAACCCATCCCCTGGACTCCAGAGAACATGCCCATCAGGCTCCTTGAGTTTCTCTCTCAGGTGTTCTGATCAAATATGCATCTCCTGACCAACAGGACCACCAGTGCCCTCTCTTGTCACAGCTGCACCTCTCCAGGAATGTTCCTTCCCTCAGTTTCCACCTCACTTCTGTCCACTTGTCGTCTTCACACTGCCCAAAGGCCCTGTCAAAACCACACATACAGTCACAGTGTTGCCCAGTAGCCCAGAGTGCTCCAGGCCTGGGTTCTATCCCCAGTACTCCAAAAACAAAACAGAACTGGGTAAGCGGTGAGTGGCCCTGAAGCGAGCACATACTCCAAGGCTCATCTCTGTGGCCTCCCCTGACTCTGCCGGAAGCACAGGCCTGGAGTGACCTGGCAGCCCGAGCAGGTGCTGCTTACTGGGGCTCTCTCCTTGTTTCTGGGCATTGGTGACTGGATCTGCACAGAGGTCAGGAGGGAGGCTGTGAGTGCACTGTGGGCGCTAGGCCCATAGCGGGCTGTCTACCTGGGAGCTTAGGGTTCTGCACAGAGGGGACTGGTGCCGAGGGTCACAGGGGCTCAGAGGGCAGGTGACTATGGAGCACAGCCTTCTCCCCACCACTGCCCCCTCCTCTGGGGACAGCACTCACTGTGACCTGCTGGCTCTCAGCCTGTCCATCCAATGCCTGTCCTGTCTGTAGACTGAGGCTCCTCTATTGATCCAGCCCTACCTGGCAGACATGACACTCTCTGAAGTCCACGTGGTGATGACAGGGGGCTATGCCACCATTGCCGGTAGCCTGCTGGGCGCATACATCTCTTTTGGGGTAAGTACAGCCTTCTTTCTGCTGAGGTCCTAAAGCTATCTTTGTGAGAGCCCCATGTGGCTATGCGCCAGAGAAGCCCTGGAATATTTTCTCTGGGGCTTGACACCCCAGTTGGGTCAGGAGGTAGAAGACTCCACTGAGCAAGAGTCCCAACAGTCCATTACTGAGCACCTGCTTTGTACCAGGCAATGTGCTGTGTGTTTCAGTATCCCTATTTTATAGATCAGAAAATTGAGGCCTGAAGAGTGTCTTAGTTACTTTTCTCTCATTGCTGAGACAAAATACCAGACATGCAAAATTAAAGAGGGAAAGTTTTATTTAGCTCACAGTTTATGGAGGTTGCAGTCCATACTCAGCTGGCTTCAAGGCAGGATGGCATGGCAGAAGGGCAACCATTCATGGCTGCAAAAGATAGCAAAAGCAAGAACAGAAGGGGAGGAACACAGAGAGAAGACTCTTTCTGTCCCTAAGATAGATGTAGCTCACACCCATAAGCCCAGCAAGGAACCATAAATCAGTCACAAATTCTAGAAGCCCACTCACATGACTGTACGAGACTTTGGGGGGACATCTAGATACAAATCAAAACAAAAAGTAATGCCCAAAGCCAAGATCTGAGCCTAGATTTGCCTGACTCTAAGTCGCATGTTTATTTCTCCACGGTTCCATACCTGGGATCTGTCTCAACGCCTAACTCAAGCCTTTCCTCTGCTCCTAAATTCTTTTTTAAAAAAATTAAGAAGTGTTGCAAGCATATGTTTGCAGTATATAATGATTACATTCATCATGGGGAGTTGTTATAGGTACCTAACGCATTTTAGTTCTTTTTACTTCCTCTTCCCCTCCATCTCTTTCTGCTCGTTCCATTTGCAAAAGTTCTATCATTGTTTTTTTTATTATCTTTTATTTTGCTCTTTAAGTTGTTTATACTTTGGGTTTCTCATATATGTAAGCTGTGTGTCTGATTTATTTCATATAATGTTATGGTCTTAAAGTACATCCATTTTTCTACAAATGACCCAGATTTGTTCTTTATGGCAATGTAGTGTTTCATTGTGTGTAAATGCCACATTTTCTTTATCTAGTCATCTGTGGACATACAGGCTGCTTCCAAGATTTAGCTATTAGGAGCTGTGCTGCTGTAAAGACAGGTGTGCATGTGTCACCGTAATATGATGCCTTTAACTCTTTGAGGAAGATACCTAGAAGGGAATATCTGGTCACCTGGAATTTCTTGTTTCAGTTATTTGAGGAATCTGATTTTTATAGTGGTTGTGCTCCCACCAGCAATACAGGGTTTCTTTTTCCCTGGCATCCTAGACAGTATTTGTTATTATTTGATTTCTCTCAGTGTTATTTTAATTTGTGTTTCTCTGATGGTCAGGAATGATGAGCATTTTTTCATGTATTTATTGGCCATTTGTGCTTTTTCTAAAAACTGTCTTCAATTCAGCTGCCCATGTTTTGATTGGTTCTTTTATTTTGGAGGGAGCTACTTTTCTGAGTTCTTATATACTCTAGATTTTTTCCCCCCAGTACTGGGGATCCAACTCCCGACCTTGTGCTTGCCAGGCAGGTGCTTGTGCCACTGACCTGAATGCCTGGCCTTATATTCTAGATAATATCCCAGGTATACCTTAGCTGCCCACACTTTTTCCCATGCTGTAGGTTGTCTCTGCACTGTGTTGGTTGTTCCATTCACTGTGCAGAACCTTTTGAATTTGATGTTATCTCCTTCCTTCATTCTTGATGTTATTTCTTGTGCAATTAATTGGTGTTCTGTTTAAAGTCCTTCCCTATGCCTGTGTCTTTGAAAACTTGACCTATTTTGTCTTCCAGCAGATTGTTTCTGTCTTAATATTTAGGTCTTTGATTCATTTTAATCTTAGTTTAGTGCATGGGAAGAGATATCGGTCTAGATTCTGTCTTTTGCCTATATATACCAGTTTGCCCAGCACTATTTATTAAAGAGACTATCTCTCCTTCAGCCTGTGTTTTCCATCCTTGTCAAAGATCAGAAGTCTGAATGTGCCTGCTATTGTGCCTGCATCCTGTAGTCTGTTCCCTTGATCTATATGCCTGTTTTTGTGCAGAACCATGCTGTTTTAATCACTATAGCTTTGTGATATTGCAACAGCAAGCAGAAACACCAAAACAGCACCCAGGATTTGAAGACTTATTTACGTCAACAGGCACTGATTAGGATCATTCCTAGAATATCAGGCCCTGATCACTGGTGGTCTAGGGCTTACAGGAGATAAGCAAGCAGGAAGTGGAGAGGTGGAATGGCTTGTCATTCGGGGATTGGTCTGTATAATGTGCGTCATAGTGACCAGCTATGCATCAGAGTGACCAGCTATTTCTAAAAGACGAGCAACTGAAAGTGGAACAGAAACTATTACCTGGGCAACTGAGAAACTGAAGCCTGGGGGCTGCGGGGCTGGGAGGAGGGGCGACTTGAAATCTGGGCTTGTGGTGCGTCCTGCTTTGCTCTTGTTGCCCCGAATTGCCTTTGCTATTCTGAGTCTCTTCTGACTCCACATAAATCTTAGCATAGTTTTCTCTAGTTCTGTCAGGAATGCTGTTGGTATTTTGACTGATTTTGCATTAAATCTATCAGTTTTGGTGGCATGGCAGTTTTAACAATACTGCTTCTGTCTACCCCGTTCTCTTTGATTTCTTTTTCCAGAGTGCTTATATTTTTCATGGTAGAGTTCTTTTACTTCCTTGATTAGATTAGTTTCTAAGATATAATTTTTATTGGTGCTATTGGAAAGGTATTTTTCCTAATTTCTTTTTTGGTAAGTTAATTATTGGTGTACAAAAACACTTTGGGGTTCATGTGTTGATTTTGTGTCGTGATATACTACTGAATTTGGTTATCAATTCTAGGAGTCTTTTGGTAAATTTTTTTGGATTTCTGTAGAGAGGATCGTGTCATCTGCAAATGATGATAATTTGATGTCTTCCTATCCCTTTTGTTTCTTTCTCGTGCCTATTGCTCTATAGTTTCAAGTACTATAAAAATTAGAAGTAGTGGTGGATATCCTTGTCTTCTTTCTGATTGTAGGGGAAAAGCTGCGAATTTTTCTCACTAACATGTTTTCAATAGTTTTGTCATAAATGGTTTCGATCAGATTATGATAAAGTTCTTCTGTACCTTTCTTCAGCGAAGAGCCCAAAACAATAACGATATAGGCCTTCAAAACACAGTGGTAGAAACAGAACTAGGGTTGATACTTTACATAGTGATCTTCAAGAGTTCCTCAGGTCACCTGACACAAATGTGCAAAATTGTTCCAATCCTATGAATATTAACTGCTTTGTTCTATGAACTTATAGAATTTGTATCACAATCATCTTAGCTATCCTAAGTATGTTTATACAAATTTAGGTATTTTTTCTTTTCCCTTCCTTTTTCTTTTTCCTCCTTTTCCCTGAGATATTATTTTTTTCTCTTTGAGCAGATTCTTATCCTTTCACTGTATTTATTGTGGATTTTGTATCTTATGTACTCTTACCATTTCTTACACTAGGGAGACAATACAGTATTTACTCATGTGAGTTTGATTTATTTCACTTATGAGTATGATCTCAAGTTGCACCCACTTAGTTATAAATATCTCAGTGTGATCATTCTTTATAGATGAGTAGTACTCCGTTGTATAAACACACCACATCTTTTTTATCCATTCCTCAGTCAATGGGCATGAGTCTAGTTTTAGTTTTCGGCATACGGAGAGCCAGTTTTTCCAGCACCATTTATTAAAGAGACTGTCGTTCTTCCAGTGAACATGTTTGGCCCCTTTGTCAAAGATAAGGTGCTTGAGTGTGTTTGTAGTTGTGGTTTTATCTTCTAATCTATTCCATTGATCTTCAGGTCTGTTTTTATTCCAGTACCATGCTGATTTTATTACAGTAGCTTTGTAGTATAACTTCAAGTCAGGGATTCTGATGCTTCCTGCTTTGCCTTTGTTGCTTAGAATTGCCATTGCTATTCTAGGCCGTTTCTGGTTCTAGATGAATTTTAGGAGTGATTTCTCCAGGAGTGATTTCTCTAGGAGAATTTTTGCATCCATGTTCATAGTATTTTGATGAGGATTGTATTAAATCTATATAATAATTTTGGGAGAATGGCCATTTTCACAATATTTATTCTTCTTATTCATTTCCATTTTCTGAGATCATCTTCAACTTCTTTTTCAGGGTATTATAATTTTCCCTGAATAGGTCTTTTACTTCTTTTGTTAGATTAATTCCTATTGTTTCATTTTTGGGGGATGTTATTGTGAAGGGTGCGGCTTCTTTATTCCTCTCTCGGTGATTTGTTGTTTGTGTATAGGAATGCTATTGACTTTTGAGTGTTGACTTTGTCTCCAGCTACATAATTGAATTTATTTATTATACCTAGGAGTCTTTCAATGGAGTTTGGGGTCTTCTATGTAGAGTATCATGTCTTCTGCAAATAATGATAATTTAACTTATTCCTTTCCTATCTTTACTCCTTTTATTTCTCTCTCTTGTCTAATTGCTCTGGCTAGTATTTCCAGTACTATATTAAATAGGAACTGTGATAAGGGACATCCTTGTCTTGTACCTGATTTTAAGGTAAAGGCTTTTAGTTTTTGGCCATTTAATATGATGCTGGCTGTTGGTTTGTGATAGATGGCTTTTATCATATTGAGGTGAAGACCATCTGTTCCAATTTTCTGTAAGATTCTTACCATGAATGAGTGTTGGACCTTATCAAAAGCTTTTTCTGCATCTATAGATGACCAAGTGACTTTGATTCTATTGATATGGTGGATTACATTTATTGATTTGTGTATGTTGAACCATCTTTACTTGGTCATGGTGTGTAATCTTGATGATTTGCTGCATTCTGTTTGCCAATATTTTATTGAGAATTTTTGCATCCATGTTCATTAGGAAGATTGGCCTGTAGTTCTCTTTTTTTGTTGGATCTTTCTCAGGTTTTGGTATTAGAGTAATACTTGCTT